AACACACAGACATCCTGGGTGTCTCTGGACCCCCTGAGTCTTTCTGGACCTTCAGAACACTGCAGCTCTGCACCCTCTTCCCCTCTCCACACTACCTGGAAGGGTCCCTGGTGTGACGATACCAATTGTAACCTCAGCAGGTCACAGGGAGTCAGGAGATGTAGGCTTGGCTCCTGGCCCTACCGTCATTGTGCAGAGTGACTTGAAGAGTAACACTTTTCTATTAAACTGCAACATGCAGAGCTTTGCCTTCCTTAAGTGCAGGGCTGGAGGCTAATTTATTCAGGTACTTTAGTCCCCCTCAATATCGATTGAATGCTTTTCATGCGCAGGGAACAAGGACATTACTGTGAACAGGACACATGTGGTACCTGCCATCCTGGGGCTCTGATAGGGAAAGGAAAACCACTCACAATTGGGCAGAGGAAAGAGGACACAATCCCAGGACTGAGAAATGAATCAGAAGGCTGGGATAGGGCACAGCAGGGTGTCTGGACACTGCAGGCAGCTGGGCGTGGTAGAGCAGCTGGGCACTGCAGGGTGGCCAGGAGGCCTCTCTGGTGAGGTGGTGTTTAGCTTGAGGCCTGCAGCCAGCCAGATGGCAGAAGGCTGGAGGAAATGGCAAGTGCAAGGGCCCTGGGGTAGGCTGAAGGGAAGACAGTATGTGGTTCTGTATCCTAACAATGCCTGGTTAAAGCCCAGGTGCTGGCTGACTTTTATTTGGTATGTGAATGAGACAAAGCAGGAAAAATGTGAAACACCAGGGCCCAGCCTTTAACATCCAGACTGGAAACACAAGAGGAAGAGAAAACTGGTGGGCAAAGGGCAAGCTCAGATTGCAGCACGTTGCACTTATGAGTCTGTGGGTTTTCTAGAAAGACACAGCAGCAGAGCAAGGGACATGGACGCAGGAAGGAGCTGGGGTGGGTCAGGACTTGGGAAATGTCCCATACAGGGAGGGAGCAGAACAGGACAGTTGGAGAAATGGAAAGAGAAATGGCAGAGATGGTGCCAGTGAAGCCTGGGGAGGAGGAGTCCCAAGGCCAGGGCTGTCAGAGGTGACGCTGGCACTGGGCATGGGGCCTATGTGGATGCATGGACAGGGGCTGGTTCTGGGCAGGGGGCAGTGTCTGCAGGGTACACGTGGAGGTGGACAAGTGGGAAGGGTTGTGGGTGCCTGTGAGGGCTTTGGGAAGACCCTGAGCATCTCTCCAGCCATCTCCCCTCCCCCAACACCCATGGCTCTGGCCCCTTCCTGCTCGTCCATCACTGGAGCTTCTCCCGCTTCTCACCCCAAGGCTGTTAAGACACCAGCTCAGACGTTCCTTCATAAGAAAGGAAACTGGATCCCTTCTGTACTGTAGGTGGGATCATAAGGAAATGTAGCTGCTGTGGGAAACTGTATAAAAGCTGTTGGAAAAATTTAAAACAAAATTATTACATGGTGGAATAACCCCACTTCTGGATACAGACTCAGTGACACCAGGGCTATAAGGAGGCATCTATACACGTTGGTTCACTGCTCACAATAGGTAGAAGGCAGAAGTGATGGGGGTGAGGGGAGGGTGAACAGACAGATAAAATGTGGTCTGGACAGTGGAGTATCACTCACTCTTGAAAAGGGAGTAAGTTCTGAGGCTTGCTACTACATGGGCAGACCTTATAAAAGGAACCAGTTGCAAGGGGACAAATGCTCTACTGTTCTATACATATACAGAGACAGGAAACAGTGTGGTGTGTGCTGGGATTGGAGAAATGAACAGAGAGAAGGCGGAGACAGCTGTACAAACTGAATGTGCTTAGCATCACTGAACTGTACACTTAAAATGGTTTAAGATGGGGCCTGGAGACCTGCTCAGTGGTTAAGAGCAGTGGTTGCTCTTGCAGAGGACCCGGGTTCAGTTCCCAGCACCCACATGGCTGACAACTGTCCTTAACTCCAGTTCCAGGGGCTCTAACACCCTCTTCTGGCCTCTGTGGGCATTGTATGACATGGGTACACTTGGATACATGCAGGCAAAACACTCATATATAAAATAAACATAATAAATATTTTACTAATAAAATGGTTACGATAGAAAGCTCAGAGGTAGAGCACTTGCCCAGCAGGTGAAGGGTCCAGGGTTCCATCTCCAGCACCACACACACAATAGTTAATATGGTTAATGCTAATGTCATATGCATTTTATCTTAATTTTCAACAACAACAAAAAGAAATAGAAAGGAGAAAACCCCAGAAGACTCTTCTTCTTCCCTGAGATTCCAGAATCTCTACCCAGAAGCCCTCCTCCCAACATCCTGGTTTGCATGGCTTGGGTCTTACAAAATAAGCAGCACCTCAATCCATCTTCAGTGTGGGGCTCCTCTGCCTCCATAGATGGGAAACTCTAGCAAGCCATGTAAGGGTCTGGTCTGAGGCTGCCACAGCATGTCAATCCTCACCTGGCACCCAGCAAGCCAGGGTGCTCATTAAATACACTGTGGTTGAGGATGCTGAGAAGGGGGCATATGTCCCCACACCCCTGACACACCTGGGGCAGGAAAAGTGAGCACCCTGAGCTCCAGATCTGTGTGAGGCCTGATGGGAAAAACATTGGCCAAGTGGCCATGAACTTGGCGCAAGGGTCAAGGCGAGGTTGCAAGCGGAAGGACTGGGGCCCAGGTGGGTGACCCGGCTGGGGCGGTGAGTGGTGTGGCAACAGTGTGGGCAAGGGGAGGGCACATGGGCCCAGCCTCGGGAGACCACGTGGCACAGCTGGGAAGTTCTGGCCCTAGGAAGCATAGTAAAGCACAGCCTGCAGTGGGGGAGGACGTGTGGGGAGGGCATGGCTCCTGGCTGGGCTCTGGTCTCAAGGGAGCTGGTATTTCTCCTGAAAGGTCCCGGTCAGTCTGCAGAGCAGGCTCACTGTCAGGCAGGAGGGGCACACCAGCCAGCAGCTTCTCAATGTCGCCTTTCACAGCAGAGCTATTTTGAGTCCTTCTTGCTTTCCTTTCTTCTTCCCTCCTCCTTTCCTTCAACCTACACCCTTTGTGTGTCTCAGTAGGAGAGGGGTGAGGCCAGACACGGGGGCAGACTGGCTGGACTCGGCCTCCTGTTCCCCTCCAAACCCTGCCCGACTCCTGACTTGGCTGCCAAACATCTGGGAAGGGCGAAGCTCACTGCTGCACCCCACACCTCCCTCCTGTGACTTGGGTCACTTCCTCTAACTGCTTACTTCTCTCTAGGGGTGGTCAGGGCTGGAAAGTTCCTGCTTGCCTCCTGCATAAGTTACATATGCACAGAGATGAGGGGTCTCCAACCCAGGTGAAGACGGAGCACAGGGGACAACAGAGTCCTCTCTGGGCTCTCCTGACCAGTACTGCTGAAAGGTGGGATGGTTCCCCCTCACTGCCCATCACCACTCCAGCCTCCACAGCCTCAGGCCTTTAGGAGTTTGGAGCTTCTGTGGGAGGCACAGCAGCAGACATGGAGGTGAAGCATGCTCTCTGAGCTCCTGCCATCTGCCCTGGAGAAACACTTTTTGTGTGAGATGAAACCCAGGACCTCTCACAGGAGACAGGCACCCTTCCACAGAGCCACATCTCAACCCAGGAAAACCCTGCACTTTCATATCAGGAAATGAGAGAACAAGCTCACCACAATGCTGTCAGGTGAACAGCAAACAAATCAGACACTGAATGTTCCTTGGTCCAGGTAGCTAGAGAAGGGCCAACCCATACACAAAGAGGAATATTACACAACAATGAAAATGTGTATTCAGAGATCTGTGTACCAATGTGAGAAGTCCTCTGTGGTACTGTGGTAAAAAAAATTCACACAAACCATGTCAGGTTCCTGATGATTTGAGAGGGTTTCTGCAGAAGTAACTCCACAAACGGTACACTCTACTTCCCGTTCATAGTGATTTATGTGGGAGAAGCAAGGGAAGTTCTGGAAGGGAACATACTACACTTTGTACTACATGTGAGGGTTTGTGAAGGGGTTCAGCTGAGGGTCCATGGAGGAGTCCATTCCTGTCTGTAGGGATCTAATGGGCATGGGGGCGGGCAGTGACACCTTGTGCAAGGAAAATGGATTCCATTTCCTTCCTCCCTTTCTGTGTATATGCATATTCATCTGGATACATTCATGCATGCTTGTATGTGGAGGTCAGAGGTCAACACTTGGTATCTTCTTGCAGCAACATGAGAAGGAGCCCAAAGGTGAGAGCCAGGTCCACAGCCCAGCTTCCACAGCCGGCATCTTCTCTTGCCTGACTTCCTGAGGAAGAGTTGGGCACAGAAAGGCTTTGGAGGCAGTAGACATGTAGGAGTGTGGCAGGGGAGTTCAAGCCTATACTCTCATCACAGTGCAGTCCCTGAGTCCTGAAATCTGGTCTGTCACCCTTGAGGATTCCTAGGACACACCTGTTCTCCTCTGCCTCCGTGGCTCTTGCAGATATCCATGGTGGGAAGCCATCTGGCTCCTAGAGGGTCATGGAAAGCCTGAGGTGTCAGTGAGCAGTAAGTGAGGCCCACCATGGGCTCCCCATGGACAGTGACCACCACTACCATAGCTCCAGTCTGCATTAGGACATGGCCCACTCCATGTCCCCAAACAGCCCCTCTATTACCTCCTCCTACCACAGCTCTGTTGTACGATCAGGCAAAACCAGTGTGCATCCGATTCTGTGTTCTGTCAACAAAACTCCTCAGTCTCCTCATCCCACCTCACGGATGAGGAACCAGAGGCCCAGGGGCTCAGTCCCACTAGACTCCAGGTCTGTCCTGATTCAGAGCATGCAGCTTCATTTCACATCATCCACAAAGACTTTGGGAAGCTCCATACAGAGGAAAGTGTCTCCAACTGTGCTTCTGAGAGCCACAGTCTCTGCCCAGTGATCTGGTGCCCAGCACCCAGGCCTTTGGCTTGAGGGGCAGCTGACAGTGAGATGTGGGGAGCGGCCTTCACATCTTGGATCCATACCCCCTCCCCATCCCTTCACTTGGGGGTGTCCTACCTTGTGAGTAAGGCTTGGATCTTTCGATGTGCTGTCCTCCTCTTCTGAGCTTCCCTGCTCTTCATCTGACATGAGGTCCTCTTTGGGGGCCGCTGAAATAGGACAGACCTTGTAGGGTTCTGTGTAGGCGCTGGGCAGAACAAGGCAGTGGGTTAGAGCTGGTTGTCTCAGCAGAACCAAGCACACTCTTCCCTATCCTGGCCACACCAATCCCTCCCTGTCCTGGGCATGTCAGGCTCTCTGTGGCACTAGCGCTGTTACACACTACCTAAGACAACTCTGGGGTCCTGTCTGTCAGGTCTAGGCAGGCTGAGACTTTGAGGAAGGCTCAGGCAATTGATTGTGAGGGTAGGTGCTCAGTTTGACTGGACTGGCCTGGTCAGGCAGCAGGGTCAGTCCTCAGACTAGGGCATCCTCTTGGCCTGAGCAATGGGTTGTGTACTAGGCATGCATGTCCAGCCCCTAGTCTCAACCATCAGTGGATTGTGGGTGAGACAGTAGGGCATCCTCTTGGCCTGAGCAATGGGTTGTGTACTAGGCAGAGTCCAGCATGCATGTCCAGCCCCTAGTCTCAACCATCAGTGGATTGTGGGTGAGACAGTCCAGGTGTGAGTTTCCAACTGGACTCCCAGAAATCCTGACTTCCACCTCACCCTGGTGGTGCTGTGGGGAACCTGGATTATCCAGGTGTGCTGTCTACCAGTAGGCATTGTCTTTAATTAAGTAGTCCCACATGCTCCAGGCACACTGACTGGCTGTGGCTCCTGCCACGCCTGGGGCTGAACGGGGCATAATCACTGGTGACTATATGTGTTTTCTGTCTTCCAAGGTGAATGATTCATGTGAGTAAGGCCTGTGAGCCCTGCGGGAGGCTCTGGACCCATCCTAAGAACTTCAGTTCCCTTCTCCCCTCTCTTAGCCCACCTGACCATACAAGCGCAGCAATTGTTCCACAGGGGAAGGTGGGGTCCTCTCCTCAAAAACTCTCAGTGACTCCCTCTTGCCACTGACAAGGTAGCCTCAGACTGCTTCTAATGAAACTTCTCAAAATACAGGCACCTGGCCATCTTGCTTTTTTTTTTTTCTGTCTTAGCCCCAACTGGCCTGGAACTCACTATGTAGACAAGGCTGGCCTCAACTCACAGAGATCTACCTGTCTCTGCTTCCCAGTGCTGGGATCAAAGATGTGTACCACCACGCCCGACTCCATCTTGAATTCTTATCAAGTACTTATTTCTGATTTGGGGACACAAGGATGGAACACTGGTGGTGGGTAGGTAGAAGACATGGAGCCTCTACCTCCTAGACTGACAGGCTAGAGCATTGCCCATGCTCAGACCCCAGAGCCAGCGGGGGAGGCATGGCCAGGCAGCAGCCTTACGGGAGGAGAGGCAGAGCCTTCAGCTACAGCTAAGGCATGGGAGCCACCCGTGATGCCAGTCAGGCCCAGGCAGCTGGGTCCCTGCAGTGTCTTCTGCTCCACAGAGCCACCCAACCAGATGGATCAGGGACAGGGTGGCCTGGGCTCTCTCAGTGTCACTGAGCCCTGGTCCTGCCTTCTGGAGCCACCAGGGCTGGTGTGTAATTGCTTGTATTTGTCCCACAGGCAGGTGGCAGGGATCAGAAGGCACTCCCTCTCACAGAAGAGGCCACACTCACCCAGCGGGAGCCTATTATGCCCACACAAGACCCTTGCTCATAGAGGGTGAGTGCAGGAATGGTCATTTGCACTTCTGAACTCTCATCAGGGAACAGAGGGCAAGGTCAGGCCTTTTCTAGGACTTACTGGGGAGAAAGAGAGAGCATCTCCCCTGAGCAGCAAGCATCTCCCTGAGTAGCCACCACTAAGCTCCTCTCCCACATTCACCCTCTATAGACCCCAGAGTCCACTGGTGCCCCCATCACAGCCTCTGTAGTCTAGGCAACATCCTGTCTGAGGTCTGAGACATCCAGTTCCGCCCTGACTGTCCACCCATCTGTTCTCCATCCACTGACCAGAAGGACCTTGAAACTCACTCTTCATGTGGCTGTTTGCTTAAAACTCTTTGGGAATATTCTGGTGTAGTCTGGAGTGGCCCCCATGGCCCAGCCTGTAGTTCACAGGCATTCTGATTAAGACAGCAGGCAGATCTTGGGGGCTGGAAAGATGGCTCATGTCTGCTGTGTATGCATGATGGCCTGAGCCTGGGTCCCCAGTACCCACAGAAATTCTGGGCACGGTGGCACCCATCTAGAATGCCAACACTGGGGAGATGGGAGGGGTGGAAAAGACAGGATCCCTGCTTATCAGCCAGCCTAGCTCAACGGAAAGCTCTGTGTTTGGTGAGAGACCCTGTGTCAGCAAAAACTAAGGTGCAGCCCAATGGAAGAAGATACCCGATGTTGTCCTCTGGCCTCCACATGCATGTGCATACACCCACAGGAACATGTACACAGAGACGGGGGAGAAGGGAGGGAGAGACAAGAGACAGGGAAGGGGAGGGGGCAGGGGGAGGGGGAGGGAGAGGGAGATCTGTCAGCTTGGTTGGAAACTCAGCTCTACCACTTCATACCAGTTGCTCCCCCTTCCTGTGCCTCAGCTCCAGTTTCTATTTTCAACCTCAAACAGTAATGCAGGTATATGGACTATTTCCACAGTTAATGAAGCTCCTGTAGCAGAGGCTCTCAGCAGAGGGTGGGGATACTCACTAGATGGCAGCAGCAGATGGCTGCATATATCAGGCTAGCCCACTGGAAGAAGAAACTACAGCCGCCCACCCTCACGTTGACTGGCACCTCACTGGCTCTCTGGTGCCCCCTGCAGATGGACTGGAAACAATAAAAGTGCCCCCTCCCACCTCCCATAGTGACTCAATGCTGGGTGAAACAGCATGAGGGGCAGATGGTCAGCTCAAGTCCAGCAGCCAAGACCTAGAACCTGAGCATCAGGAAGAGGAGTAGCTGTGGCTGTGTGACTCAGGCGAGTCAAGCTGGCAGCCAGTCACCATCGCCAGCTCAATTGGATGCAGAAGCACCAAGGAGATTAGAAAAGCACAGCTCTGCATGGTCTGAGGTTTCCAGAGAGGACCAACTGCAGGATAAAGACCCACTGTGGATATGGGCAGCACCATCCAAGGCTGGGGGCCTGGAGGAGAAGGAGGGGAGAAGGAGAAAGCCCACCAGCCCAGGGAATTCTGTCACTGCTTCCTGGCCACATGAGCTGCTCCACTGCACCTTTCCACCATGATAGACTGAAACCCTGAGTCATGATCAACCTTCCCTCCCTGAAGTTGTTTCTCTCACAGTGACAGAAAGCTGACCAATACACATAACCTCTGTTTCTCATCACTCAAGAGAGGGTTGCTGAGCACTGTGGGGTTACAACAGAGCACCAGGGTGAAGGTGGCTGCTTCTTGGTCCTTTGTAGCCCACAGAAGAGCCAACTTAAACTTTCACCAAACTATGTCCTCCCTCCACCTCTACTTCTACTTTAAAGAGAACATGACAAGCTGCCCAGAGTCTGTCACCTTAAATGACCTGCCAGATGAGCCTGGGCCTTTCCAGCAGCCTAGAGTCATAAAAAGGCATGTGTCTCCACTGTGATGCCCCATGCTGTCCAACTCTGATCATTAACTTCCATCCTCTCTAACAACGCAGTCAAGACAGCCTCATAACTCATCAGAAAGCACTTCCCCTTGGGAAAGCTCAGAGGGAGCTCGAGCCCTAGAGTCCACTCCAGCTGATGCAGGGACAGATGACTGAGGCCAGACTGTGCATGGAATCTCTACTGATGCTCCCCAGCCCAGTGAGGAGGGGAGGGAAAGGAGGGACTGAGGCTGAACTCTGCAAGCTGGAACCACTGAGCAATGGAGAAAAGCTATGAACACGAGGGTCACAGTTAGCAGAGCAGCTGCAAGAACCTTGGAGCAGAGGTGGGGAACAAAGTCAGAATTTCTACGCCCCCCCCAACAGTGGTCACCCTTCCCAAGACCCCAGCACGTCCTCGGTTCACAGACCATCCCTTTAGAGCCTGCCCAGGTGGCTCCTTCCCTTCAGCTATGTCCTTGGGGCTCTGAACTGACCGATCCCATGTTCTACCTCCTCAAAGGGCCACTGAGTTCCCCCTGAGGACAGATGTCACCTACTCTCAATGGGACAAGGCACAGAGGAAATCTGATGGTGGAGATAGCCTAGAGGATGGGAGCTCACCATCAAGCCAGGACCCAGTTGGCTTTGTGGCTGCCACCCTGGGCCTCAGTTTCCACATCTATAAAAGGGAAATGGGGGGATGGAGAGATGGCTCAGCAGTTAAAAACACTGGTTGTTCTTGCAGGAGACCTGGGTTCGAATCCCAGCACCCACATGGCAGCTAACAACTGTTCATAACTCCAGTCCCAGGGGATCTGACAGCCTCTTCTGACCTATGAGGGCATTGCACAACATGGGTGCACTTACCTACATGCAGGCAATACATGCATACATATAAAATAAACATAATAAATAACTAAATAAATAACTAATAAAAAAGGGAAATGGAGGGTGGATTGTGTTGAGCACAAAGCATGCAGGGCCGATCATCCCTGGGCTGAGGCCTCAGGTATCCCACCACCTGGCCTGTCTGCTACAGCCTTGCATCTGTGGAAAGCTTGGCTCTGCTCCTCCTGTGGAGAATGTGGCCTGTTCCTGGGGTTAGCCAAGAGGTAGAGAGCCTTGTAATCATTCCCAGAAAGAGCTCCAAGGAGAGACTTTTTAGAAAATTCAGTTTCCCTTTCTCATTAAGTAAAAACAAAAGTCGTCCTGCTCCCTGACCTGTGATGTCCCCTTGACACATCGGGGCTTAGGAAGGGTTGCTTTCTGCTTGTAACAGCTCTAAGGAGACGTGATTCGCAGACCATGAATTTTACCGTTGCTCAGCATATGACTCTGTTCCTTTTACTGTACTCCTAGGATTATGCACATACCACCACCTCTAACATAAGGACATTTTCCTCATCTGCACGCCCTTCAGCAGTCACTAACAATCAAGGTCCCTGGGTCCTGGCAACCTCTAACCTCCGCTCTCTGCTCTCAAAAGTTGTAAAAATGGACTCCACAGTAGAAAAGGACCCCCTTTGTGTCTGGCTTCTCTTACTCGGCATGATGTTTTGAAGG